CAGAAAATGTACCGAAGCGTTAATAAATGAACGTGCAAAAGTATTGAAAGAAAATCAAAACGTAGATGACATAGAAAGAAAAATTGGTTGTGGACAAGTTGAAGAATTAATAATACAAGCGGAAAATGAATTGATATTGGCACGAAAAATGATTACATGGACGCCATGGGATCCATTGGTACAAAAACCTCCTGCAAATCAGTGGTCCTGGCCCCCAGCAAAACCTATTAATTAAATTGAGCTTCATTTATAGAATTTATCTGGGTAGTAATTTGGAAAATATAAATTATCTTCAAAGTATGTAATGTTTCTCTGAACAATGTATTGTTTACATTTCACTTCTGTTTTTATTTAATATATCCTAATTATTTCAATGCATTTGTTTATCCTCGAATCGCTATTGAAGTATCTTTTTAGGTCTTTTAATAACGAATTAAATTTTCACCTAAGTTATTTATACTTTTGCATTCTATACAACTTTAAATAGTTTACACTCATTAAGTATTGACACAATTTGAAAATTACTAGTTGGACAAGACAAGCACTCAAAAAATTTTACTTAAACACTTAGCTTTTCAATGTGAAAGAATTTCTGGTCAATCTTCATGTTGAAGATATTTCTTATGAGCTCTTAATAGGATCTTTGCAATACACTACATGGATTTTCAATGTTTATAATATTATTTTATATATTTAGTCAAAATATTTAATTTTTCACTAATAATCTGATATTAGTGAATTACCTTGAAGAAATTAACCTTAATTCAAATGTTATTAAAATTATATTATAAAAATATTATTAAAAAAAAATTGTTCGAGATGTAGGTAGAACAATTTTCATTCAGGTTAATAACAAACAATTCTTTATTTATTATCACTTACATAGAGTATACCCATAATTAATTAACTAATACATGATATCACAATCATTAGGTATATAACCACATTGCATATAACTGTAATTTAAAATATATAACATCTGAAGTACTACTGGAATTGTGTGCAATCTATAATTTAATATCTTAATAAATTAAAATATTTCTTTGAAAGAAAACCTATATTATTTACCAATAGAGGTTGGGGAATTGAGTAAATATTTCGTATGTTCTCCTTTTGCTAGTATTCTTCCAGATTCTTTATCTTTTATAGTTACATCAAGAAATGCAAGATTTTTACCACATTTTGTTGTTACCGATTCTATAACTATCTTTTTGCCTACCTCACCTCCTTGCATATACCTAAAAAAAAGATATAACACGAATAAACACTTGGAAGTTCTGAATAATTAAATCAATTCTCAAGTGTGTTACAAAAAGCTTGAAAACTATTAACCTGTTGTTTTATAATAGTCTTCTTATTATTGATACAAGACTTAGCATCAATTTCTTGACTAATTAATCAAGAATTTGTCTTGATTACTATAGAAGTATCTTCGTGAATAAATGTATATTGTATATATTCAGTAATAACAAGCTATTTGTAATTCAAAATTGAAATTATTTGTTTTGACAAAGTTGTGATATACAAAGAAACGTCAACAAAAAATAAGATTTTTTAATTGCAAATAACCTGTTACTACTGCTAAATATATTTAAGCATAACCATATCAGAAACAGACAATAATTGTATATAAAGTTCAGTTATCTTTCATGGATTGATAACTTTTCAGAAATATGTATACATGTTCTTTGTATTACAAATCCCCTTACCTAATATTTAAGTTAACTGACACGTGAGCAACATTTCCCTTCTCTAAAGAACTTAGACCATATGATGATAAAGAATCAACCAAAGTAGCCGTACATCCTCCATGTAATGTCCTCATTGCATTTGTATGTCTTTCTTCTACATCCATTTCTGCAATACATGTTCCCTTCTCCATAGTTATTATTTTAAGCTAAAACATTTCTATTTATTTTTGAGGCACTTGAATGGACAACTGAATATTGATGTTATTTTTTGTTAATTCAATAGGTGTTGTCCCTCAAAATTTAATAGCGCCATCAAGACATCAATTAAAAAACAAATGCTAACTGTCTAGAAGTGCCACATGATTAAATTTTAAGATCAGAATATGTTTTCGACACAGATTAAATACAAAAAGGTTACATTTTCGATGGCTTTTTAGAATCGGAATGGCTATGAAATATTTCAGCTTAATGTCCAAAACACGTAATTCTGAAAATAAGTAACCATTACAACCATGAGATTGTAAAGATGATAACTTATAAGCACTTAAAAGATTGATTATTTGAGGAATTCATAATTCACTTACATTTTTGAACTGTTGTTCGTAATTTTTCGTATCCCTCAGGTAATTTTTGATATATTCGGCTGTTAGACGAGTTGAAGAACAAAATTTTCTTGTAAAAGCAACCATTGTCACGTAAAATCAAATTATGTAATACCTACAATATTTTCAGTGTGTAAATGTTTGTTTAAATTAACAATCAAGGGCAGATTTATTATATCTACACTTCGTGTACATATGATGAAAATCGATTTTGATTTTTGACAGTAAATTATAGTTATTGGATTTTGACCAATTATAAAATAATTTCTGTAAATAAGCAATTAACATACAAATCTAAATTTTTAGTCAAAAACAAATATGCTTATATGAGAATGAATGAAACTCTTGCGTAAGTTTGTTCATTGAAGATCTAGTTTCAGGAACAGTCCAAAAAAAAAATAACTTAATTTTATTAGTTAATTAGTACCAAAAATAAGAAGTAGAGATTAAAAATTAGGAATTATCTTAAAGCTTTTATTTCTTTCACAATTTACTTGGGATTACTTCATTATATTTTCATATTATATTACAGAACATTTGAGCATATAAATCAGGAACGATTATAATCGTCAATACAAACATATTTTTTACACTCTAGATTTTCCATTCAACGTTACTGAATGTTCATAAGTAAACAGTAAACAAAATATTAATCAGATTTTAGTAGATTCAGATATGCATGTATATGTTTTTATCAATAAAAATAAACTGTCTCCTAATGATTTAAAATGGATTTTACAACTGAAATTAACTAGATAGTCTCAACTGGAAAATTTGCTTGCTCATTACAAATATGATATCAGAATCATTCATCCGTCCAAATTACTATACACATCTCAGTAAAGGTTTTAAGGAATTTACGCATTAAACTTATTCTCAACTGAGAATGAAAAATAATGAAATTTATAGCATATTGTCAATTCTAATTAATAAAGTGAACTTGTTAGTGTACATAGTAAAAAAAAATTTAAATCGCTATAACTCAGACACAGTTCTTCTTAGAAAAAAAGTGTATTATTAATTTCTATAGAAATTGTATGATCTACAATTTTTGTTGAAACTATTTTTTTATACAAAATACCGTTTGCTGAAAAGTTTCCTGAAAAGGCAATTATAACATGCAGTAGACCGATGTTCGAAGATCGATCGGTCTACCGGATTGAGCAGATGCGACGTTGCCAAGTCTATGTTCATGGCTTGTAAGTAGAGTTAGGCTGTGGCACGACCACCTAGTAAAGGTGGTCGTGGCTGTGGTTCTTACTTTATCGAAATTGAAATATTGGTTCTTCTTTATAAAACATATTTGAATTTGTAATAGTTTGTTCCGTTTCTGGATAAATTTCGAACAATTGCAGTGTATATTACTTCTTTGTCAATTATTAATGCCAAAAATCATCCATGTTATCCAATTACGATGTTCGTTAATCGCTAAATATCGAACATCGATGTTGGGCTTTCGATTTTGACATCGATGTTTTTCTAATATCGACCTGCCCTATATTAAAATCACAGAACATACCAAATTAAGGGTATGTTCTGTGCTTCATGGCGTGTAGCGAAGGTCACAGCCTAACTCTAACTTTACTTAAGTAGAGTTACGCTGTGTAAAGGTGGTCGTGACATAACAAATAAGAGTATATTCTGTGGTGTATAAGAGTATATTCTGTGGTGTACAATAATAAAATTTACTTCAGTGCAGTTGTCATTTTTTTCCTTTTGCCGTTTATTATTAGTATAATAGATTAGATCAGTGTTGGGATTTTAGATCAGTGAAACAGAGAAATGTTCATGAACTTTTCAATAATTTCATCTCATTATGCGTGCAAATTTTTCTCTAAGACGAAGAAAAGAAATAAAGATGCACGAAGATATACGAGTTTTTCATTCTTTTTTACAAGGAGTTGACAATGTTTTTTAGGAAAAAATGTATTATTTTATATCTTTGTGTTTATATTCTGTTGATATATTGTGATCACTAATTTTAAGATTATCATTTAACACATATGTAATTAATTCATTAATTATAAACACATTGTTGTTCTGGTTGGGGACCCCAAGATTCAGAAAGATTTCGTCGTGATTCATTCACATGTGTTAATATCAAAACCTTCCAAAATGAATGAGTCTAGATTTATTCTAACAAATTACTCACATTTGAAATCCAGTAGTTTCAGAAATTTATCTTCTTGTTTTTTTAGGAGATCGGAACCAAAAGTCACTTCATGAACCATGAACTATTGCATTAGAGTATTAATTTTATTTCTTTATCCTCAAAAAATCTGGATTTTACTTCTCACATTATACTTGTTGCAAATTTTGTATATATTTTACCAATATGTTTTATATATCATTTCAATTGTCTTTCCAACTGTTAGAACTTTTATCAAAATTTTTGAAATTGTTTTTTCAGAATTTAGCATTCTGAAAAAAAAAATTAAAGAAACGACTTTTCTTTGGCGTAGCTGCTCCAGTAAATATACCACTTTTATCCTAAAAAAGGGTTACCTCGAAGGGTTTAAAGAAAACAGATTTCATTGGAGTATTATTATATATATATATATATATATATATATATATATATATATATATATATATATATATATAAAAGTGAATATTATTCACGCTAACCATGCACGTACGGACATATTGTATATGAAGAAATATTTATATGTAAATTTGGAATCGAAATTACACCACAAAAGTTTTCAACCTCGACTGGGATACGAACCCAGGTTTACGCCCTGTTGCTCTACCAAATAAGCTACCGAGGTCTACACTTCGCGATGCAATACCGACTATATCTAATTACTCTTTTGTTCGCAAGCCAGTCATCGACGCACGGGTTATCGTCTTTCAAACTGCACGGTAGGTGTTTCATCGCGAAGTGTAGACCTCGGTAGCTTAGTTGGTAGAGCAACAAGGCGTAAACCTGAGAGACCTGGTTTCGTATCCCAGTCGAGGTTGAAAACTTGTGGTGTAATTTCGATTCCAAATTTACATATAAATATTTCTTCATATTATATATATATATATATATATATATATATATATATATATATATATATATATATATATATATATATATATATATATATATATATATATATATATATATATATATATATATATATATATATATATATATATATATATATATATATATATATATATATATATATATATATATATATATATATATATATATATGTATTTTCGGTGCTTAATTGGGATTGCAGTCCAGGACAGGAAAATAAGTTACCTCTTTAGTATTTCCCGAGCTTTCGAAATTGTTTATTTTCTTCTTCAGGGCTAAATTTCTATAATATTAACAGTTTATATTACAAGGCACTATTCAAAATTTTTCTTATAATTTATGTGAATTTAGAAAATTTAGAGAATTTTCGAAAACTTGGAAAATGCTAAAGAGGTAACTTATTTTCCTGACCTGGTCTGCAATCCAAACTAAACACTGGGAATTTTGATTGATACACAATACTCAAATGAAAATTAGTTTTTTTTACAAAAGGAAACAATTAATTTTGGAAAATGTGTAAATAAAAATAATTAATATCACTTATACATTTCATTGCTAAAAAATTCATTTTACTCTTCTTTTTCTTCGTGTTCTTTTAGGTTCATCATCATCGCCATTTTTTTCATCAGGTTTTTCATCTATTGACAAACTTTTAGGTACTTTAACTGAAAGTGACGTATTATTCCATTCTTTTTTCAATTCTTGTAGCATATTTGGCGTTAAAATACCTTGGGCTAATAATCGTTCAGTCAATCGACCGCCTCCTGCAGACATTTTATTTTCTGAAAAGACAGATATAAAGTTCAAGTTTTAAATCATTAAAATAATTACATACAGACTAAAAGCTCATGATGTTTCAATTACATTGCTATTTGAACAACTATAACCAGCAGTTTTTAAATATTTCGTGTTTGAGAAAAATGAATTTTCACTTAGAGAATGAGTTATTTATGTAAAGCAGACATAGTATACATACAACCAGTTAAGAGCGGAGTTTAAATTAGCAATTTTTTTACTTTACATTTTCATGTAAGGCATAGTTATCACTATATAAATGCTATTTCTATTTGATATATAATATCAATAAATTGAGAAAAAAATTGAAATGGTATATATATATATATATATATATATATATATATATATATATATATATATATATATATATATTCAAGATTCACAAGTCATTCAATACTAGTAAATACTGAATCTCAATCGAAATATTTCAAATGAAACTCTCAGGGAGCTGTCTACACAAATATTGTCAACGAGAACGAACCCATCACTTTCAAGAGTGAATATTAAGAGCGTTTCGAAAAGTTCATCGATCTTGTTGAATGATAATAGGATACAATTGTTTCATCATTATTATGAATCATCAGTCCATATTCAATCAATCAATCAAGAATCGATGACTTTCAAAACGAACATAGGTCCCATACCAAATTGGGCGTGATCTGGAGCGATTAGGCATGGGATCATTCGTACACATCGCGGACAATTTTCTGTAGTGTTCGAATGAAATATCTACAAAGCCTTCCACTCTCACTCTTGTTGAGAGTAGAAGCTCTCAATCTTTCTCCTCCGATAGAGGGAGCCTACGTGAATATTTTACTAGGTAAAATTGTCCTCAATTTAGTATGGGGCCTATGTTCCTATGTTTTTTTGAAAGTAATCGATTCTTGATTGATTGATTAAATATAGATTATTATAATAAAAATACTGATTATTCATAATAATGATGAAACAATTGTATCGTATTACCATTCAACAAGATCGATGAACTTTTCGAAACGCTCTTAATATTCACTCTTGAAAGTGATGGGGTCGTTCTCGTTGACAACATTTGTGTAGACAGCTCCCTGAGAGTTTTATTTGATATATTTCGATTAAGCGTCTCAGTATTCACTAATATATATATATATATATATATATATATATATATATATATATATATATATATATATATATATATATATATATATATATATATATATATATATATATATATATATATATATATATATATATATATATATATATATATATATATATATATATATATATATATATATATATATATATGTGTGTGTGTGTGTGTGTGTGTGTGTGTGTGTGTATGTGTCTCTTGATTGTAATAAAAATTTCAAATATTATACATTACGTACGTCTAAAATAACTTTGTTTCTGCCTACTCAACGAAAATTCATCTTCTGCTGCGGCAAATGATGTTCCTGAGCTAATAACATTTTCAGAATTCTTCAACAGTCTCGTTATTTGTACCACGCCCTGCTGAATTATGGCATCGAGTTCTTTTTGCATATCTCGTATTAAATTAGAATCCACAAAAAGATCCATAAAACGATAGCTGTGAATAAAATCTATGCTTTATATATAATTTTTATTCAAATGCGATTTATCATTAACCTTTGTTGACAAAAAAATTCTAACTGTCAGGTGTGGGGTTCGAACCCACGCTCCCTTTCGAGAACCAGAGCTTAAATCTGGCGCCTTAGACCGCTCGGCCAACCTGACTATGCATATAATTTTGAAGTTTCTCGATAACATATAGTAGTTACATAGATACAGATAATTATATAGACAGCTCATTTTTTCAATCAATTGTTTAATGTAAAATCAAACTTATATATATTATATATTCTGATTTACCATAATTTTCGATTGTAAAAATGATACATAAAATTGAATACCTACAACAGTAAAAAAAAGATGTTGATTTGAATCACTACAACAAAGGAAATAAGGTATAATCCCAGTATTTAAGAAAAACTGAATTATTCTTCATACAACATCGAATATAATAGTTAATAAAAGCGAGATCAAGATATTTTTGGTAGAATGAAGAATATTAAAAAAATTAAAAAATATAATGTTACGTTCGAAATACACCTCATAGATATTGATTAATTTATTTCGTACTAGCGACCCGCCCCGGCTTCGCACGCCGCAAACGCTACGCCCCGCAATTTTTAAATCTGTAATATCTTCGAAAATATTCACTTAAATCATACGGTGTAAAGGGCCATATATATCTATATTAAATGAACAATGTATTCAAGGTATTTAATTGGTTAAGGATTAATGCTGTATGGGTTAAAATCGCTTCGAAAATTAGCCATTATTTGTCGCAAAAAGTAAATGACAAAAAAACGTTATTGTGGGTTATCCATAAGAGATAGACATATACCATCACGGACTTTTCTGTAGACCTTTTCAATGTGTACAATACTTAGTACATTATTTTGATAAAACTCGTAGGGTTCAGCCTGCGTTTGCAATGTAAGCGGAAAAAATGTAATTATTTACGACATCACATTAGAAACCTCAAAAATAACAGTACTTCTCCACTATTTAGTGGATGTTATTATACATATAAACCTTCCTCTTGAATAACTTTATCTATTAAAAAAAACCGCATCAAAATCCGTTGCGTAGTTTCAAAGATTAAAGCGTACAAAGGGACAGAAAAAGCGACTTTGCTTTATACTATGTAGTGATATTAAACTGGTAAAACCAGTATTTTATTATAACCCTTCATTACGATATTTTTGGAAAACAAAAACATTATTTATACATGGTGTTAAGTTAAAAACAGCGGCAAAACTTCAAGAAGTTATTCCTTGTCCTATTTTATCAATATTTTGTCCTATGCTGATTTTTATGAATGAATTACGACAACTATATCGAATGTTAGTTGGAATTATATTCTGCGACTTGAAGGCAATGGACTGCCTAAGTCTGAAGTCACATCAATGAGCGAAGCGTTTATACTGACTCCAAATGCAATAAGAATATTTTCATTAAGTGTTTTACTATTAGTAGTAGTATAAGAACTACTTCCATTTGTGTATTTTGATTAAAGAGTCTGCCTTTTGAGCAAATCATATCAGATTTCAATCAGTTAACTTAATTTCATTGAATAATTCGGCTTGAAAACTTTTCCTCTACAACAAAAATTTTAAAACAAATTATATAAAATTTTATTGTATGGCCCAAAATCGAAAAACACTGAATAAAATATTTCTATTGGGTTAGTTATATTGGGTTATTGCCATTATAAGCTTTTTTTGTCAAGAGTCTGACAAGTGCTCAATAGTCCTCTATCATCAAATATTTGGAACTTAAGAAGAGGTCGTAATTTTCAACATACGAAAATCGCAAGATTAAACTAGGCGGGCTATAAGCATATCCTGCTAAATCTATAGACTTAAACAATATGGATTATTTATTCTGGGGATCTCTCTTATTTATTCTGGAAAAATCAATGAAGATTGTCGAAATCGCATATTTGCTGGGAGTAGTTCAATTGGTTCGTTAGTTAATGGAGATAATGGATTGAATGGTTTTATCTAGGCTGGGGAAGCAATTTCGAGCATTTCCTGTAGATTCAATTAAATAACCCGCCACATGTGATAACGCGATAATCTTTATTCGTACATTGTCTTTGCATCCATGTTATTTTCTTACCTTAACCACAAGTACAAGTCAAGAACATCAAACACCGCTTCAAGGTGAACCAAGTCGATTATCGTTCTTGGAGGTTGCAATGGCCATCCAATATTCCTACACAACCAATCAAAAGTTATAGGTTCATTTTTGCTGTATTGCCTGGCGAACTGAAATCATGACATTTGTTATAAATGAATACCGAAGGTGTATGAATAATAACATACTTTTAAAAACATAGTGCAAACAAATGGCATTTTTTTATTAATA